ATATATACAAAAATACATACATATATTTTGCGTATTTGTATATTTACACGCACTCACATAAACACGTACACACACACATGCTGGAAAACTGTATACCTGTCAACAACAGAATATAGAATACAGAATATAGAAGTATATATATATATAGATATATATGTATCTTTAACAGGAAAAGCAACAAGAAACTTACATAGATGTATTGAGACTTGGTTCGCTTTTTTGCTTCAATAGAAATCAGTTACATACATACATATATGCTAAGTTCGATCAAGTTGAATGTACTAGACATTGAGTATTCAGCTAGTTTTCACATAAAGCTAAATGCTAAATACAATTGTGTCTACATAAGTGTATAAATGTATCAATCCATAATCCATAATCACACACAAACACACACGTACACTTAATAGAAACAAAGTACAGAAAGCAAACGAAAAATCACATTCACTCCATTTACATCGGTCATCATCACAATTCATACTAACGTATTCTAAGCAGATGAAATAGAGAAAATACATGAAAAAAATATATTCAACTTCTTCGAAATCATTTAAGTGTTAAATGTATATGTTAATTCTAAACAATAAACCAAAATATACAACAAAAAAATGAAGAATTTGGAAGAGAAAAATACAAAAGCCATTTGAAAACATGTACTAAAAATAAGCAAACCAAACGAAATGAAAATTATATGATAAAATAAAAATATAAATGATACTTCAATTTTCAAAAAAAAAAAAGAAAAAGAAAAATTGTTTTTACTTGGGGTATTTTCCTTATTTGGTTAAAAATTTTCAAAATGTGGCGGGCTCAGTTTTTTAACGATAAGCCCATATTGTTGTGCGTGTTATATAGCATTCAGCTTTACGTTGTATGAAGTTTACGCGTAGTGGCAACGCCAAGCACTTGGCCTTCGTTTTTACATCAGGGCAACAATAATATTCATACAAACCAAATAATAAATAAAAATACTAACACGAAAATAACTTTCGTACTTTGCTATATATCCATTCTACACTTTAAGTGCTAACAAACGCATCATGAGTGACAGTGTGGAGAATGGCAGCAAAAGCGAGAGCGCCGAAGATGGACTACCCATAAAGCCGTCGACTACGTCTACGTCGACGTCAACGACAACAACAACGGCAGCAACAGAAGAAGCAACAACAAAACAAGTAGAATCAGATTCCGACAGCCAAAGCGAAGAAGGTTTAATACAACAGAGAGTCAAGTAAATGTTGAATTTGTTGTCAAATGATTCACTTTCAGATGGCACTATGGATATGATTCGTCGCTTCTTTTCACAGACTTTTCATTTGGCATCGGGCAGAACTGCGGACAACGAAGACGCAATTGTGGATAAGGTGAGCTTTATCTCTACTATATGCAGATTTTGTAAGTGTGTGTGTATGTATTTGCTATAGGTAATTCCGGAACTGACCTTTGACGGTCTATCATCGTACTGGCGCGAACATGGCTTTAAAAACATTGTGACAATGGTGGGTGCTGGAATCTCCACGTGTGAGTTTAACATTTCACTAAAATTTAATTTTTAATGTGCTAATTGCTAAACAAATATTGGAAACAAATTTACATAGCTGCGGGTATTCCGGATTTTCGATCGCCAGGCTCTGGTCTATACAACAATTTGAAGAAGTACAAGCTACCGCATCCGACAGCAATATTTGATGTGGACTACTTCCAAAGGAATCCGACGCCTTTCTTTGAACTGGCCAAAGAGTTATATCCCGGCTCGTTTGAGCCGACGCCGGCCCATTACTTTGTTCGACTGCTGCACGATAAAGGCCTGCTACAGCGTCATTATACGCAAAACATCGATACACTGGATCGGTTGGCCGGTTTACCCGAACACAAGATCATTGAGGCACACGGCAGCTTTTATACGAACCACTGTCTCAATTGCAACCAGGAATACGATATGGCCTGGATGAAGGCCAAGATATTCGCAGATGAGCTGCCAAAATGCGAGGAATGTAAAGGACTTATAAAGCCGGACATTGTCTTCTTTGGGGAAAACCTGCCTGGAAAGTTTTACAGCAGTCCCGAGGAGGATTTCCGAGACTGTGATTTGCTCATTATCATGGGAACATCGCTGGAGGTGCAGCCCTTTGCATCGCTCATCCATCGGGCTGGGCCCCGTTGCGTTCGCCTCCTTATTAATCGCGATGCCGTTGGACGCTCCAGCTTTGCTCCTTGGATGGATAGCAATGAACAGTCTTTACTCTATGGCAAACCGAAGAATACGCGCGATGTGGCTTACCTAGGGGACTGCGATGCAGGTGTCTTGGCACTGGCCGAGTCACTGGGCTGGGCAGACGAGCTCCAGCAGCTGATCAGCAACGGACAGCAGAAAACAGAAGAAAAACCGGACAACACCGCTAAATTGGATGGAGATGAGCCCCAGGTCAAGGAGGAGGAGACTGTGAAATGACGCTAAATTTAGACTAGTATTCCCAATTTGGTTTGCATTAGAGAATGCGTTGCTGTTACTAAGGAAATTTTTTCATGCGTGCAATATGTATATATGTTTGTATTTAATTGCATAAGAGTGTGGTGTAACCGGATACGTCTAAACGTATATATGTATAAATATACGCTGACACGTATCCGTTTAATATATATATACTTGTATATATAGTGTTTGATGAACGAAAACGTGTTCGCTATTTGTGTTTGAACCCAGGTGCAGCGTTTACAGCAGAGTAAAGATACAGTAGAAGGTAAGAAACTTACAGAAACTTATCACCCACCCGTCATAGTAGTCAAACATATTATTTTTGAAGCATTAGTATTCAATGGAAAAATATATATATATAGATACGGTACATAAAATAGATACATAACATAGATACTCGCAATTTGTTATCTATTGTTATCTATTCTTGTAGTCAATTATCTACGCCATAGACTATCAAAACCTGCCTAGCAATTATATTCGGATCTAACCTTTATTATTACGCTTAAAAATATAAATATAAAACATTGAACATGTTCAATGTAGTTATTATAGACAAGCCTCTTGAAAGTTAAGCAATCATCTATTGCCAGTAATTGATATTGGTTTCTTATTTTGGAGGCTCAAAGTAACCCAAATGTAACATTTGAGGCAGCAGATATTTCAGTTCTTGTTTGTAATCCTTGTCTTGATACAATTCCAAGCGACGTTTTTCGTTATTCATCAATTCATTGGGGTCTTTGCCTTTACGCATGCTATACGAAACAGGCAAAAATGTTGTGAGCAGGCAGTAATCTATTGAAGAAGACACATTGAAGATAATGATGATCGTAAGACTGTTTTGTATGAGCTTACCAGTGGATCTTCTGTCAAAAATCTGCTGACGCAATTCGACCAGGTTGGGCATATGTCCTTCATATCCAATTTTAGATAATGTCCTCGTAAAGGTATCAAAGTAATGGTAAAGAAGTTCATCCCATCTGTCCCTTCGGTCGTCGCTACTTAACAGCATGTATTTGGCGTACTGCAGATCGTTAGCAATGGATCCAACAGAAGACATCTGGAAGTCAATCAGCATGCAATCGTGGTCCTTGAACATAATATTACGGATATGAAAGTCTCCATGGCAAAGAACATAATATGCATTGGCTTGTCGGTTCTGCCTGTATTCTCGTATGACGTCTCGCCAGCGACTAAGAATATTTTCACGCATTGGCTCAAAGTATTTGCGATACGTCTTTAAGCTGTCCTCCTGGCTGATCATATTTATAAAGTTGGGCAGCCCGCTGGTTATGACTTCCAGTTCGAATAGGTTTGGGATAGTTGTCACATCATATTGTAGCTTATCAAATATTTCTGGCTGCTCCTTCAACAACTTGAAGCTGACCGCATGCCACTTGGCCAGTTTTGCCAGCACGGCTCGCAGCTCGTCTAGTGTGGCATTTCGATTGCGAATCACTTCGTAGCCCAGAGGCAACAGATCCTCGAAGATCATTATCTGTCGTGGCTGCATGCTGTAATACACACAGGTCGCACAGAACTTCGTCTCTTCACCAGCTGCCCGAAGTATCGCCTCGAATTTGGGAAACACTTCCGTATACATTTCAATCTCTGTTTGGAATATTTTGGATTCGCCAACGAGCTCTTTTTTATGTCCATCCACCTCTGGCATTGTCTTAATGATAAGCGACTTTGAACACTTTCTCTTTTCTGTCGAGTACTCGACATTGGCACGGAACATAACACTCGCATAGTGATCGCCCTTAACACTTGCCGGCGATATCTTTGCTGCAGTCACTGTCAGTTTCGGTTCCTTAAGATGATCCAATAACACCTCCTGAAAGAATTCTTCGTTCAGCCAGGTGGGCGCCTCCAACTCATCCGAATTGTAGTCATCGTTATTTGACGGCATTATAAATTTTGCAGACGTCACGATGCGTCGTTTGGTCTGGCGTTCAATCATAAACTAAACAAGATTCGAGTCGCATTCCGCATTTATTCGATTTTTACTATCAAGTATTTAAAGCTAGATAACAAATTTCGCTGATTGATTAAGTTGATAGGTTTTATTTTTAAATATTTAGTTATCTTAATTTAGCAATATACATTGTTTATATGTATATACACAAGTAAATAAAATACTCATGTTTAGTTGTCAATATCTTCTGATTGGGTAAGAACTTTATCAGCTGTAAAATGGTAGTTAATTATATGGAACATTTCATTAACTTTAAAATAGGTAATAAATACTTAAATATTTATTTAACTGAGAACTGCTTAATTGGTTCTCATTTTTTACAGTTGATAAGCATTGACTAGTTTAGTTTTTTACCCTGCCTATATAAAGATTCATTTGTACAAGATTAATTTCGAAAATAGCATCAAAATGTTGAATGACACAATTTACTAATTGGTAAAGATCAGAGAAGCAGTTCTATAGAATTATAGAAGCGCTTGCTTCATTGAAAGTTGGTAGTGCATAGTACCACTAGCCAAGCAACACATACACATGTGTTTTCTGGTTAGTGATAGTACATACGTTTCTAGTTAATATGTTCATATGGCTGCACATATGTGTATATTTATATAAATAATTAAAATTAAAGACTTATCCAAGACATGTGGTCTACAAATAACAAAAAAATGAAAAGCCATGATATTTATGATACCTTTAGCATATAAATATGAAGTTTTCCAGTTACGTTCAGATTCCCCCGTTCTCAGTACTGATATGTGGCAAACACTGTGCACACGCAGAACAGGCTAGTATTCGTGAATACCTCTGTGACGGAGGTGTCGCAATCGCAATCCCAGCAACAACGTGATAAGTAAGTCGAGCCGGCACCCAGTTCTTGGCCCAGCATCACCTGCACTACATGCTTGTAGCGCTTGACTTTTGGACTCGCCGCTATTTGCTGGTTCACCTCATCCGCGATTTCACGTGTCCAGATCTTGGCAATGTCTTTGTCATATATTTTGTCTGTAATTTGTAATTTGCAGTTGCTTAGCAACGCTTATTTGTTGGGTTGCAACTCAACTTACCTTTCAGTTTCGTAGCCATTGTGCTGTTTATAATGTTTTTAACAATTGGTAACGGGAAGGATTCACCAAATTCTGGTCGCATGCTGTAAGCCGCAGGTTGGCCCACAGCTTCCTCTTCCATTTCCGCATCGGCTGAGAGTTGCGCCGACGCAGATTGCGTTTGCGTTTTATGCTGCGAAGCTGTGTTGCTTGCATTTTTTGGTACCGAGCGTTCAACTTTTTTGATATTCATGCTTTTCTTTTCGTCAGACATTTTGCTCAAAATAAGCTAAAAATATAAATTTGTTCAAAAGTAAATATACGCTTGGAAATCGCCTCTTTGTTTTGCTGCCTCTTAATAGAGATGGACTTCAAATGACTAGCAGAGGTATCGCGATACCATACAAAAATAATCGATAAATTTGCCACTGCCTGGCGCGGCGCTGCCATCTCGTTGTGGGGAATTGATAAATTAAATTTGTCAGTTACAATTAATAAATCTTTATTCAATTTTGAACAAATCAAAAAATTACATAATAAATTCGATAAATATGTTGATTAAAGAAAATAAATAATAGTACATAATTTTAAATAACTTTTTAGCATACATTAAAGCAAACTGCTTTGCTTCTTAATATATCTTTATATACTTTTGTATTATACATATACATGTTTATATTTATGTGTATATATGTATAGAAAATATTTGTGTGTAAATCTTTGTGTTCACTTTGTTTTTAGTTGGGCAGCAAATTACATGCATAATGAGTGACGTACTGCGATCATAAAATTAAAATCTTGACACACAAATCAAATTATACTAATCAAAGTCGACATTTAAAAATGATTAAAGAAGGATAAATAATTTGCACATACACTTTCACGTTTCACACTTAACTTATTACACAACATAATACAACATACAATGATCAGACAAAACATTAAAATATTTTGACGGGGTGCACAAATTAAATGACTATAAGATTTTGTGTATAATAATGCTCGAAACTAACTGAACTTTAACTTTAAAATTGGCAAACTGTTTATGTAGTTTTTGTTTTCTATAGTTTTTCCTATTATACAGTAATGTTGCGCGTTTCTTGAAAAATATCTTAAGCAACTATATTATAAACTATTCCGCCAGAGTGCTCGCTCGGCGTATATTTTGCTCGTTTATCTTACAGCTCTCTGTTCTTAGTATCGTTATCGTTATTGTTTTTTGTGTTTTGCTTTTTGGTACATTTCTGCTTAAGTATTTAGGCGTAAAAATCCTTGCCAGATCTCATCAGCCAGTAAGCCCCAAGGCAAGTTTAAAATTCAAATCTGAAATATAATTGCCAAATCGTTAGAATATGTTTATGCAGAAAAGAGTCTTTGAACATACATTCGATTCCTCCTGATCATGCGAATGACCGGTTAGTGTGATGCCCGCGTCCGTTGAGCTTGATGCCGTGCCGGCTGCAGTAAGATCCACCTGTGAGGCGGTTGGTCGTAGAGAGGCACGTTTAGCCACTATTTCCAGCATCTCATTAAGTATTGCACCCTCCGCAGCTACATCGGCGGAGCTCTTGTCGAGTTCTACAATAGCGTTAAAGATTTTAAATACTAAATACAGATGCCGAATTATTTCTTATCACTTACTATTGCAAGACAGTCGCAAATTGAGCTCCTCTTTAAGCTGAGCATGTCGATATTCCAGTTGCAGTTCTTGTTGTCTTATAGTAAGTTCTTCATCACGTTTTCTAAATGAAATGAAAAATATGTTATTTACGCCATTGTTGTTAAGGGATTGCATTTGTTGATGCCATACTCACTTTAGGGCTGTGATATTGCGCCAAATTTCTAAAAGCTCCTTTAAAAGCTTATCATCATTGTCCTTAGTTGCATCCAGACTGCAAAAATAGGTGTTCATTGAAATTTTATACCATTTACTTGAGCTGTACTTTTTACTTACTTTTCATAATTTTGTGCCTCGCCGCGCAAGGCTTTCTCAATTAGAACGCCTCGAGCCTCCAGTTCCTTCAATTGCACCTCGAGCTCCTCCTGTTCACGCTGTATTTCTTGAGCGATTCGCAATCGCTTGAGTTCAGCCTGTCGCGAAGCCTTCGATATGGCACGTTGCTTCTTATGCTCTCGTGTCTCGTTAGCGTTGCTTTCATCTAAATATCACGCACAAATATGCATATACATATATTTATAAATGTATATTAGTTGCTTAATCTTATCAAATGGAAATCAATTGGACACAGATTTGGGAAATGTTTACATAAAATGAGTTTAACAAACCATCGGATCTTTGATAATTCAGTGGCAAAGGCGGTATGGGTGGCGGGATCTGGTCGTCCATGGCAATCGCTGCGGCCAAATGATGGGGATTGTGTATATAGAGCTGCGGGCTGGACGATGAGAACGATTCGGTGTTCGGTTGCTTTCGATAGCGACTGTTGTTCGTTGTGTTGAGGTAATCTTGGGCGTGTTTCGTTTGAGTTGTGATTGTTGCTGCTGTTGTGCTTGTTGGCAATGTTGCATTGTTTGTAAACATATCCTTGTCCTAATTGTTGTGTTTCATTGAAATATATTTGGTTAAAAGTTGTGTGTATGTTGTGTATATTGTTTAAGGTTCGGCAGCAATGGCATAAAAGAAACATCCAAAATGTAAACAATTTTCAATTCAATTCAGTTATCAATCATCAGTTTCAAAACAAAATGTTATTAACAACTTATGTATAAGAACACAACGTGCTTCACTATTCACTATTTAGGGGGGAATTCGATTGGATTCGAAACCACACCAAACCAATTCAACCAATTCATGCAACATGTACTTATATATAATAACAATAAAAGTAAATTACTATAAAACACCCAATTATTTTCCATATTTCTATGCAAATTTATCAAAAAGCTTAAAAAATAGTTGAAAATAATAAGAATTCCTTTTAATTAATCAAAAAACTTAAACGAATTATAACACATAGTAAAGTTAATATAGGCCTATGTCAGAAAAATAATATCTTTATATGCATATAGAATCATATAGGTAGGTAGTGCAGGCCCCATATAGCCAGAAATGATTTATGTTTTTATAAAGGAAATAATCACAATTAATTAAACATATATACTCATAGGGTATCAGGCAAGTTATAACTTAAATATTTTCAGCTGCAAGTGCGAAAAGAAAATAAAATTAAAATATATAAAAAATGATTTCAAGCAAAGTTAGAAAATAAATGAAATGAAAACAAAAATTAAAACATTTCACAAAGCATTGTGAAACTTAGCCTTATAAAACATAAAAAAAAAAAGAAAAAACAATTAATAAAATGTGCGACAAAAAAGCTATGTTCAACATACCAAAACATTATACCTTTATAATTATTTTTTATGTTAATCAAAATTGTGAATTTTTTTGTCAAATGTCAAATTTAGTGCAGTGTGAATTTTGGTCTAATATTTTAATGTGAAACAAATAAATAGCTCATGCCAAATCAATGAAATTTCGAGATTATTAACAGTATATAGTAGTATATAGTTAATTAAAAATATCCTTACACCAAAACCGAAATTCCGCAGATCAAAGCAAGACTGTAAAATGTTGATAAGAGTTGAATTTGTTGTTTTAGATGAAGGACACACATAGTACATAGAACATTAATGTAAATCAGCCCAGATTTTATAGCCCCAATTTGTAATGCACAATTAATTAATGACGTCTTTGTGAATTCGCAGAAAACTTATCACATTTAGCTGAAAGGGGGTTCAGGATGTGGCAAAGACTTACCTTAGACTTCTCCTTCGATTTGGGTGAAATGCGGAAGCGGCTGAAGACGCCCCCGCCGCCGCCGCTGCCTGTGTCGGAGATCGTGGGCGTGCCGCTGCTGCTAGTGCCCGGACGCTCTGCATGCTCAGAGTGACAGGCAGCTACAGCGCCGCCCAGCTCCTTGGGACT